AACTGATCGCTCGCTCGAAGATTTTCTTCCAGAAAATCTTTCCCCACTCGGGGGACAAGTTCGTTAGAGAAAATGTGTTTGTATTTTTCAACTAAACCCGACCTTCGTTTCTTTGTCGTCCTTAAAAATTCTTCACGTGCAGAACACTCGAACCGATGACAAGAGACAGTTCTCAAACTTACACTTACCAGATGCCAAGGCCGAATTGCCTTTTGTCGTACACATCCTGCTTGTCCCCCGAGTGAGGAAAGATTTCCTGGAAGAAAATCTTCGAGCGAGCGATCAGTTAGCTTCGCCTTGCGTCACTAAACAGAACAGTGTATGCCTTAACGAACAAGGAATATTTTAATATGTTCGTCATTTACGCGTAAGTGAATTATAATCCGAGAGCGGCAGTGGAATTGTTCCGCCGACAGTATTCCGATCGGAGATAACAATTAAAATAAAAATGTGTATGCAAATTTTCAATTACAAAGTACAGTGTGACAGTGGATTTGTAAAATATTAAGTGGCAGTGAATTTGTAAAGTGTAAAAGTGACAATTTTTGTTTTTGTGAAAATTTGCCAGTGGGAAAGTGACAATGATCGTGATGATAAGGAAAAAACTATCGGGTGCAGGTCATTGACTTACTCCAAGCATCAGCTGCTGCGAGCCATGTGTCCTATCTTCGAGTGCCGAAGGTCGACCCATTGACCCATTGACATTCTTCTACGAGCAGGTGCACTGACCAACGAAGAAGTAAGTTCAACTCTGATTCTTTTCACATTTTTCATAATTTTACCTATCCTGTAATTTGTAAAGTTGTTTGCTATTTCATTGAGCATGTTACATTTGTTCAGTGAACGTAAGTAACGACTAATCTCTTTCTTTCTTCTGATATTTAACCAATTTGTTAGTTCGTTTTTGCATGCAACATTTCTTTAATCCTATGCTCTCGTCACGAACGCGACATACGAGCGCGGCAATGCACGGAGGCGGTTATCGTGCTCCTGTTCGCCTTGTATATTCGCGCTCTGATTGCGCGGGGATTTTTGTTAATAACTTAATTAATCACGTCTCGGACAACATTTTCGCAAAGGAAAAAGTTGTTTAAAATCACCTCAGCTCCGAAAACCCCGTCCAAAATCAGCTCAGCATTTTCGGGCGTAGTAGTAGTTTTGTATAGTCAAAGATTCGGACAACGAGTATGAGCCGAATGTCTGGAATTAATTTTCTAGCAGTTTCACGGCTAAGGTTAATTTACGTATTTTCGTTATTTTCACGATTTTACGACGAATCTGCTTAAAAATCGTTGATATCGCTTTGTATAATCATCAGCCACCCTCAGAGAAAAATCTTTAAGGGAATGTAAGAATCCGCGTGTCCACAAATGTTATCGCATTGTCCTCAATTTGTTGAATTCAATCGTATAAATTTGACTGGACGGACCAGTTGACCGCTAAAGACAATGGCGCAGATAGTACTACAAGTCCGATTTATTCAAGCTTACTGCGTACAAAAACCGGAATGGACCAAAGAATTGATGCACACGTGTACGTATGCATTATTCGAACGTTTATAATTGGATATTGAAGTCAATCACAGGCATTTATTACGACACATTGTTGAGAATGAGGGGAGTGTTCTAGGAGGTTAAATTAACTATTGGAATAAATTTTAATGCGAATTCGTAATGTTGTTATGTTGCGTTTATTGCGGTTTCAGTGACAAAACAGTGAAAGTATTATTCTAAAGACAAAGAAAAATGCAAGTATCCATAGTGAAGTGACTATGGTGTAGTGAAGTATTTTAAGCTTCTGAAACCTCCTCCTCGCATCGGGAATTGTTTCGATTTGGTCTCTTGCAAGTTTGCGAGCGTTCAGAGCAAGTATTTCGGACCCATCAGCCCAGTCTATAAGTGTCATATCAAATGAAAATTCCTCTAAATCCGTAGCATTCATACGATTCACGACACTCTTCAGTTTATCCGCTTTTATTATCCAAGATGTACTTATGAAGTAATACAACGCACGAAACTGCACGGTTGCCTTGGACACTATCTTCAACGCCCTGAACGAAAAAATAAGTAATAGTTGTATATATAAATACGGATAATAGCTGATGCATCAAATAAATTTAACTGAATCGAGTTTGCATAACTGTTAATGAACGTACTTTGGTTTCTTCCGCTGGATCATTAGGACCACATCAGCAACGATTGCAGGGAACACGTGGAATAGCACGTGCAGTACGAAAAATATGTAAATATTCCCAACTAAGAACATGAATGGATACCAGGCAATCTTTGATGACGGATACTTCTCAATTGATTTGATATAATTTGGACAGTATGTATGAAAACTCAGAGGATTCCAGTCAGACGATCCACAATTGTACACTTGTGGCTCGTTCGATTCCCTTAATAAATGCAATACGATTATCAATCAAAAATCGGTTTTCTTTGAAGAGACACAATAATAAGGGCTGTAAAATCGCTAAATACTGATACCTGTGGACAGCGTAGTCCCAGATCGCTGACAAAAGGCCGTTAGTCGCCAGGTCGACTGGAACATAGTCTGATATTACACCCGGTCCCATAGGCACTACGTGCAACAAGCCGAAAGCCTGCAGTGCCAGCAATA